AATTATTGTTACATTGGAGTAGAAATAATAGTTTAGTCCTTAACAAAGAAACTTTTCATTCAATTAATTCACGATGTAATCATTGCTGTTAATCACAGGGAGATTGTTGTATTCTATTGATTTTAGGACATACTTCTTCTTTTATTCTTTTAATTAGTCCTTGAGAAATACAATAAGAGAGTAAGTTATATATTAAAATGAAATATTATTATTGATATACAGTCAGTGACGTTTCTATAATTATGCATGTCACGTCTAGAGCAGGGGAGGAATTTCAATTTCTATCTTATAATCTAACACTCCTTTAAGATTGTGTTTCACAAAAGTTATAGTCCAAAGACTGAAGTTTCTGCAGTTTATCCTTGGTTATGATCTCTACATAAAAACATAGAAAATCTTGGGATGTTATATAGTTGTACTAAATTTTGCTTGCTAATAGCGCTTACGTTTTACTATTGCGTGTTCCATTACTCATTTTTATGCTAACAAAGAGAAGAAAAATATCAAGCTGATCTGTTCATAATAAACCATTTTAAAACATTCAATCATACGTTAATAGAATGGTCTTCTGACTAAAAAGAAAAAATAAAAGCCTTACAATGACGATTTATATTTCTTATTGAATATTAGATCCAAACTTGATTTATGTAGCTTTATCAGTGAGCTTTGAATTGCAATAATTGTTCAAATGTCGTTCAAAATAAATGAAATAAGAAATTTATATGAGTTTCGATTCAGTTAGAAAGTTTATAAAAAATCAACTAAGTTGAATTCTGTATTCTATAACTGAATTTAGTAGAAATTTCATAATCTGAAATAAATATGACTAGTAATCGTTGCTTTCAATAGCATGATTTTCAATTGAAAGCATTAATCAATAAAATATCTATAAAAAACATCATATTTAAAGAAAATGGTATTAATTATATTACTCAAAAAGATTATTTCACAGAAATGTTTCGTCTTTAATCAACCTTCCATATGTGAAAGCAAATCGACATGACATTTTCCATAGACTATTACGTTTTTCTATGCAATAGTCGATGAAGACATTTACACTTAATTTAGAATTGTATCTAAAGATAAATTCTTTTATATTTAATTATTTTCAAAAGTACGTCTTTATGATTGAAAAAAAATACGTAGAAGCATCGAAGTTTCTCACTAATGCAAATAGAATACGTGTAAAAAATTAAATTGCTGAATTTTATGAAAAAAAAAGATAATTGATAATAATACATTAAATATTAATTACAAGAAAAAAACATTATGACTTTTTTTTTTTCATTTGTTGAGTAGTACTTCAACCAGTCCTTTTTTATCATTATCATCATCATCATCGAGCTTATCATCGTCATTATTAATAATATCATCAATGCCCTCGTCATTATCACTACTACTTGATGAATTTCTATTATCATCATCATTATCACGTTTATTATTATTGTCATCATTTCTATTTTGTTGATAATCATCATCATCATCATCACTAATTTCTTCTTCTTTTGTATCATTATTGATTTCAGCATTTTCTGGTTCTGGAGATGTAGATGTAGTTGATATAGGTTTAATAATATCTGAAGGCAAATGAGAACCAAGTAAACGTCGAGAATGTTTTACTCGTGTTGATTGTGGTATTATTGTAAACATTGGCGTAGCAGCATAAATTGGATCTGTACTATGACGTTTCATATTACAAAGAAAACGATAATGTTCGAATGTTTGACTTGCTGGTGGATGGCGTCGATATTTACGTGGAGGTGGTAAAGGTGGAGGTAATTCACGATTTGATGATGAAAATTTTAAATTATCTAAGTCGTAAAGTTTTAAACGTTCCATTGAACTACGACGTATTCGACGTGCCATTAATTAGGATAAAGATATTTTGTATCTAGATAATATTATATTTAGTGAAGTTATTGAGAGTATTCGTCCGTTTTATAAATTAATATGCGTAATAAACGTGCGTTTGTATTTACAGATGTTAATTGTCATAAACACGTTCTTTCTTTAGTAGCGTCTAATGTTTTAGAGTGCATATTATCACGTGGAGTACAAAACATGAAGCAAAGAAACGAATACTATGATAAGAAAAAGGAATGAAAGAAAAAGATGAATAGTTATGTCCTTGTAAAAAATCAATTCTAGTAAAAGAACAGAAAAGAGAATTGGCAAGTATAAACTCATAGAATTTATTCTATTGATGTAAAACACCTTCAAAATATTGCCTATTCAGTTTCATCAAGAATAAAATGATTCAATTTCCTTTCTGATTAGAGGTAATCTTATCGCTTACTACAGTATGTATCGAGTCAATTGCGAGAGAATAAAAATCTAAATCCTATTTGACACAAGTCATCGAAAAATTTATGATACTTTTTTTTACTGAACTAGCATATCATCTTTTTATATTATTAGAATGACAACACTAATTAAATATCATCCTGAAACATCTAGCAATTGTCTTCGTTTCATTATCACATTTCGTCAATTTTTTTTCGAGATGATATACATAAAACTAACACTGAAAAAGACGAAAAATTTTTCTCACTCTGATCGATTTGCTCAATTTTATGCACAGTTAGATAAATTCAAGCTAAATTATTCACAATAAAAGTCACATACCTTCTTGACACGAACGAACATTGAAATGCAGCTGTTTGAATGCGAATATTATTATCGTTGTTCTTGCACTTCTCAAATCATATAATCCACCAACAAAATTCTATACGATTCTTACGAATAATGGTGGCGCCACAAGTGAATACGAGTCAATGAATATACTCACCATTTCCTAGCTTAAAATTGAGTAAAATTGGTACTCTCTTGAAAGTTATGTATTTTTAACAAAGTAAAAATTCGTCACTTTGTCATGATTATTAAAGAAATCAAAATAAATACAAATGATAGTTACAATGTACTCGATTTTAAGAAAAATTTCAGTACAATCTCTTCTAGATTAACATATAAAACATAATGAAGCCACTTTAATCGTATGAAAACTCTCGTCATATTTATTATAATTCATGACAATGTCAACAGAGTTACATGTTGAGATGTTCGTCACGATCTGTAGGATTCACGTCTCTCACGCTGTATACTTCAACATTTATTAACAATAATATTTCACAAAAATGATACATTAATGAATCTTCTTGATTTGTTCTTTATTGCTCTGCATCATAGACCGTATTTTACGCAAAATTAATACTGTCCAATAGATATTAAGTACTCTTGTTACAAGAAACATAAAAGCTTGTATTAAAACAATCACAATACTTGTTGTGTCATGAACATTTGAAGCCATCTGAATGAATATTGGTATAGCTTTGAATGAATACCACAAAATGATAGTTCCATAAATAAGACGACACAAAATGAATGTAATTGCAAATAATTGAGTCAATAAAGTATGCAAACGAACTCGTTGAGAAAAGATAATCTTAAGATTGAGTGGAATAGTCGAGAGTTCTTCAGCCAGAAGAAGAAATTGACATGCATGACCAACACGTGTATACAGTCCTATCACAAAACAATACTGCAGACAAAATGAAGAGTCGAATTTTCTTTCGTTTCACTTGAAATCACAAACATATTCAGATCTTAAAATTTATGAAAAATGAACTAGTGATAGCGCTCTCAAGACTACTAACTCATGAATAAATGTGATTTTCATCTAAAATATGAAAAAAACAAATCTTGTAGAATTTGTAAATGTCTAGAAATCTGAGTTCACTACTTTCCTTTGATAAAATACAATGTCCAATTCAATTGTATTTGGAATTTGATTTTGAAACTTTTTTCTCATAAATTCCCCTGACCAAATTAAATTGCACATCTAACTTTTTCGATTATTCTTCCATAATCTTCTGATTGAGTCTCAAATTTATTTCACAGTTACTTTCAGTCAGAAACGAATGAGAAAAATGGCAAATCTATCTTATACATTTCTGTATGAATGAAATTCAGATTTTGTTTTTGAGCTTGTCTTAACAATTTTTCATCGCAATTCTAAAGGAATTGTACTTTGAAATGTGATAGATCAGTTTTAATCGTACACAAAGATTCTTTCTATATTGATCAACATCCGTGATAGGATCAAAAGAGCAGCATATCAAAAAATCTGCCATACAATCTGTGAAGAAGGACATAGGTTCAATTTTCTCACTATATACCTCAATACTCATTAGCAGTCTTATTTCATGATATTTGTATTACTAACCTGATGTCGTTCCAGCTGTAAGAAGTACATGATGAACTAATGCTGATGAACTTCGAACCGATTTAAATAATAATAACATAATGATTATGTCATAGATAAAATAACCAGCTGAATAACATACACTATATGTTATCATTTCATCGTTCGTACCTTTTATACCACCACCAAGTATTCGATTGATTTGTGTCAAATCAACTGCTGAATGTAGATAGAATATACATACAGCAAGAACGGATACACAGGCATGAATAGTCGATACAATATAACTTTTGATTAATGGTGTAATAGACGATGGAAGAAAAAAGAAGATAAGACTGTTAAAAGCAATTGAGATGATTATCAATAATGATATGGGAACATCTGATGATGGATTCGTCCCAAGATCTATATATGAATATACTACTGATGATAAACGATAGTATAAAATACTTACATTGGGCACGAACATCGTCGTCAAACAACATTAGACACGTGAAAATCTTTCTTGCGTTTTGAAGACGCTCTATCACAATGTAACAGATAAGAACGAACAGAACTGAGCAAAAAAACAAGAGATTATACTTCATTTTGTATGTAAAACGAGCTATATATAGTTCGACAATGTCAAATTACTTTAATAAAGTCTACATTCTCCTCTATAATGCTGAAAATATTCATTAGTGAGATTACAAATTATATGAATTATCTTGAAATCAGATTATTAGCTTTTAGCTATGATTTCAATAGTATTGTTTTTCTACTTCCCTATTCTTAACCTTCAATTTAGAATACGCTGACCATGACTAGATATGAATGGGATTGTTCATATTTACATCACTGTTCAAATCTTTATCAATCATCATCATCATCATCATCACGAAGTTTTTGCTTAGTTGTTCGTATGTCCAGAGAAATAACACTATGAATTTGTTTTTTAAAGAGATTGACTTCCAAGCACAGACAAACAAACAAATAAATAAGATAAACGCTCAAATTGATGATCGGAGTGTAATGGTTGGAAGAAAGTATTCATGAAAAAAACACATGCAGCAGATGTCGTTTGTCAGCAATCATCAACATAGTTCCAACTTTTGAATATCTTTCAGCACTTGAAATAAGCAATTTTGCTCATGTCTAAGATTATCGAAATAATTGTTTGAAATGGGATCATATAATATTTTCTACAAAAAAAAGAAAAAGCAACAGTCTATTGAACTGTCAACAATATTTCGAAAAGCAGTATGTGTTGGTTTATTTTATTTTTATGAAAATAATAGGTCAATCTTGTAGTAGTATGACCATGTAAAAACTACAAAAAGACGAAGATCCAAGAGCCATCTACAGTGTAAGACAATAGAGATAGCTGGAGTAAATCAATAATATCGAACACCTCCTATTCAAAGTCTTTGGTTACTATTGAGTGATCTTAACGACGATCTACTGAAGGAAAGACACACGCCCACACTATACATCCCTATTCATACCCCGATGGAACCAAAATGTGGAACTTATATCAGAATACTATACCAACAAATGTCGCATCACGAGAAAGAACAAAGATATTTTGGTCTTCGCAATTGAAATCGATAAAAAACCCCAAATTGTTTAAAAGTCCAGTAGCTTTGGGGCACAAAACTAGGAATTCTATGGTAAAGAAATCCATAATATCATCTTAACATATTTGTTATGATCTGTAGAATAGATGAGGATCATTTTGTTGCTATATACGTACTTCAGCGCTCCACATGGATATGAAGGTATTTCTTATTTTCATCAAAATTCTCTTGAAGATCGAGGGAACATTATCTGCAAGTGAGTATGACCCTCTGAAACTAGAGCTAATATACTGAAGTGGGAGGGAGAAAAATCTTTTGTTTTGGCTTTGGGGTCCGACAAATGCAACTACACTTATTCCTCATTCTAGTAGTTGTCATCGATTACTGTTGCATGAATAGTGTTGAAGACAATAGAAATCTGTCCGAATGGAAATAAATCGATCGACAACGTACAAAAAAAAAGGAATACAACGGATATAAGATTCAATGATGTAGAGGTCTCTCGCCGACACATAGTGTAAGATTTCGATAAATGTCAATGAGTACGTTTTCTTTTTGTTTCTCATCATGAGAATGAATCAGTTCTTTCTTTCTTTCTTTCTTTCTTTTTTACTCTGTTCTGTTTCTTGTGAAAAGAAAAAGAAAATTAATAAATTTTATTATTCGTACTCACATTCATTTTTCATTTCTTAGAGTCGCATATTATACTTACACATTGTTTAAAAACAAAACGCAAAATCATGTCAGCAGACAATTCAAATACAGCTACAACTTCTCGGCCTTCAACAGATCCTGAAGCAGCTCGTACAGCTGCACAAACCGATCATCGACATCATAGTATTCCAATACCAGATAAAGTAACAGGAGCGGGACAAAATCAAGGAGCACAAAAAAAAGCAACAGAACCTATTGAAGCCGATACTAGTGCTTATCCTGAAAATAAATCGAATAATCAAGGAGCAGCATCACCAGAACAAGTTGCTAATCGATCGACAAATTAACAAATGAAAACGAATGACTTGTCCTACACAGACATGACATTAGAACAGTTACTGCTTGTACCTAAGAAAATTTTCTGTACATTCTAATATTATGGATCTTTTGCACTTTATCATATTCATCTTTTATAAAAACATTTGAAAGTTTTTTATTAAATTTTCAGCATCTTACATGAGTTACATTTTTGTTTATAAAATCTTTTATATATGAAAATTTAGTTCATGGGGAAAAACCTATATCAGTACTCGTGAAACCGCCTCAACCTTTAAAACTTTATAGTTTCTATCTGTGAGTACATGAATCAATACGCAATGATTTCAAAGATGTGAAGTCTGAAGGCATTAGTATTGTCCACATTTTGTAGTCTTCAACACCGATGGTTCTTATAAGTTTCTTATATTCTTCTGTATTTGCATACTATTGTTTAAAGGATAAACGAACGCACATATTTATTTTCATTTTTTTTACAACTGGTAGATCTATCTCTTGTGCAATTCAATCATGTCTTGTACTGTATTTGTTTGAAAAAAGGTGTATTACACATTGTTTCTCTCGTGACATGAAATTCAAAAGCACCCATGAGAGCATACGAAAAAATGAAAAATAGTTATTTATTCAGTTTCTACTGATTAATATGTTCTTTTCAATTGATCATGATCCTTTAACTGGCACTAACACCAGACAAGCAAGTTGAGGAAGAACCGCCATATACCAGCGTCGTACTTTCACTAGTTATCATCGCTTTCTGAAATGGGAAAAAAAGAAAAGTAAAACAATTTAAGAGAGAGTCCATGAGGGGACCAAGAAACCGAGGCACTAGACAAAATTTAAAATTTTGATTTGATGTTCTCGTCTTAATGAGCATCATCTAAAACCCCTAAATCCAAATTTTTAGCGCATTTGGATGAACTGGTCAGAAGTTAGTCCGATGCGACTTTTGGTGCCCACACGAGAATATATGGAAAATACCATCAAAAATCATCTCTATAAAGGTGGACTTTTTAAGATAACAAAAAATTAACGAAATATCTACCGTAATATACTAAAAAATAGAGCATTAAATGCTGAACAAAATGAGCTATTTATGTGTTATGTTTCAATGGACTAATCGAGAGTTATATGCCAAATACTGTTCGGGATTGGTCATTTTTTTTTTCAATTAAAATGTACCAGTTTTTTACAGTATATCGGCTGCCATTTTTCGAAAACAAACGGGACCAATCTGAATTTTTTATATGTTATGTAACTTTTGATTCTCTACAAAATGGTAAAAAAATATTTGAAAAAAAAGTTGGCCTTCGAGGCGATATGAAGCATACACTGTTGGTCACTTTGGTAACCCTCTTACAGGACTTATATGATGTTGAGCAGATTTGCTCTGCTTTTTTATTCTCAATTGGAGACTATTATATATGGATGGAAAATATACACCAAGATCGACATTTTAATATTGAATATGCAATATTAAATACGAGACCAATCACTTCATATCAACCTACAAAGTGATAAGAGATCATATATCACCCTCTCTCCATGAATCATGACACCAGTCAAAATTTTATTTTTTGATTTAATATCTTCATGTATCTACACCATAGATGCCGCATTTTCAACGGAAGACCCAGTAATTTCCCCCAAACTACTAAGTATTCAAATGCCAAACTCTGTATTTCAGAGTACAAAAATACGGCAAATCTTCTGAGATCTATTCCAGCTTTCATTGATCTTTTTTGTATAGGACGTGGTATATCATGGATAAAAACAGAGACCATAGATTATAAAGTAAACTCGATCTTATACTATCCAGAACAAAACGAAGGCATCGATGTTGATAGTGAAAGGTCAACAAGAACAAAATTAGAAAAATATACTCGTGTGCTTCTGAGATGGAAGGATAGAAGAAATAAATAGTAGAGAAAAATCTATTCGTAAGTCATAATACCTGATGATGATTTTTGTGAAAGATCGAAAGCTTGCATTTTGTATTGATTTGTAAAATTTAAAAAAAAATGATATTCATAGCTGTTCTATACTTTATATACATGTTACTGGTCCTCCTTCTCTTTATGATATATGTGTGTGCTTGCACATGTTCTCTTTTCTTATATAGTTAAATGAAAAAGAACGTGTACATAGCTAGATCAGAGAGAAGGGTGTGGGTGTAGATGACGCGATAGCCACACCCACACCTACACCCTTATCTCATTTCTTAATGCTTATGTGATAGTCACATCTTTTTCATTTCAATCATATCTTTCAGTTTTTGATTCACACATGCCTACAATTCAATCATATGACCGCTAGAACTAGAGAGAGAGCTTGGAGAGTTGTGAAAAGTTCTTAAAATATATTTTATCATGGATTTATTGATCGTGAATAAGTGAAATTAGAGTGATTAAGATTATTGTTTTTTTTTTTGAAAAATAAATTTAGAATAAGAACTTGATTCGAAACAAAAAACAAAAGTAACGTTGTCAAATCTTGAAGAATCTATCTTCAATAGTTAAATCATTTACCACACATAGAACATAAATAGCCGATTCTATCGTTATAAAAATTCTCTGTGCCATGAATTACACGATGACATTTCCAACAGGTGAAACAATTAACGTGGAAACTTTGGTTGTGAAATGTCGTATACTTGGTATCGGTTATGGGTCTTGAACATTTTGAACATCGTGGTGCAAATACTTCCTCGTGACATTTGATGCAACAGGGCTTTTCATTATGCTTGAATAAATCTTTTTCATTGATCAACATTTTATGACATTGACCACAGCAAAAACAATCTGGATGATAGTGTTTTCCATCACAAGTAATTGATTTTCCACTAGAAATTATTTTAAAACATTGTGAACATCGAGATGCAATGCGTTCATTGAAACACTTTATACAACAAGGTTCGCCAAGATGTGTATAATATTCTGAATCAGTCACTACTTGATGACATTGTCCACAATGAAAACAATCTTGATGATATTTCTTTCCATTGTAATTAATCGATCCTCCAACAAAAATCGGATGGGAACATTTTGCACATCGTGATGCAAAATGATTTTTGTAACATTGAATACAACAAGGTTTCATATTTTGTGTGTACGAATTTTTCTCATGTGCTAATGGCTGATGACATTGACCACAACGAAAGCAACCTGCATGATAACTCATGCCATTGAAATTAATCAATCCTCCACTAACAATACGTGTTCCACAGACAGTGCAAGTTTTTGCAGTTGTTAATTCGCAGCGTGAACATAAAGGTTCACCATCATCATAGATTGGAAATTGATTTCTCGGTGAATCACTCAGATTTTTATGACAAATAGCACATTTAAAGCAATTAAGATGATATATACGGTTGTTAAATGTGATTTGGGATCGATGACTACCATCAATATGACTTTTGCATTTATGACAAATTGAATTGAATCGATTAGCATTGGTCTAGAAATAAAACATGTACAATTTTGAAAAAACTTTCAATTTAAACGAGTTGAGAATCTTATTTAATATATGTATTATGTAGAAAACGCATACTCCATTCATGTCTCTACTATTTAAAATTAACTCATCACTATTCTACAAAGAGCATGACCTGTCACCATCAAATTGTAAGGTGAGTCAATTTTATATTTAAAAACCTCTTAATTGATTGTTTTCTCTTTGAGTTACTTTGGAAAACTTGTTATTTGGATATGAGTCTTCTCTTCGTCCACATCCTGTTAGAATTCTAATTGATTTTTTCAAACTAGAGCAGATCAACACTTGTTCCCAGAAGTCTTCCGTTTTTTTTGACTCTATAGGCTTTCCATAATAGAAGCGGAAGTTACCCATATACTACGATTATGTCAAAGATCGAATTAATATTGCGTAGTTTCCAAAAGATTAATATCTGTTACTAAAACTCCTTACCTCTACTTGTACTTTATCGTTGATAAGCTTCTTGCTATAAGTATTGTCGAGTGGAGTATGCTTCGATGTCACATTATATAACTGTGGCGTAGTAGGATGTAGACGATCATAACCAGATGACGAGTCGTGTTGTTGTGGCACGATAGGGATCCATACTGCACTCACCACAGATTGTTTTGACATTGGCTTTTCCAAGCTACCTCTCTATCAAAAGCATGTGTCAATATAAATAAAAAAAGTAGTTTCAGATTACTGTGTCTCGCACCGATTCTGCCATGTTGAATGCCTTATTGTTGTCGTTTCAAAATCGTGTTGTTTAGTATTTCTCACTAGAAACATGCAAAAACTTTTTTTTTACATCAATTCACTCGGTTTCATCAAGAAAATATTACATAAAAACAAAAATATTATTTAAATATTTTTAACCCAACAACGAATCAATGTTATATATTTCATTTTATCGAAATTTTACAAGCACTTTTTCAAATAGAATTATTGACTCATCTTTTTTATGCTCTATAATAAAATGACTTGAAATGAAACTTAGATTCATGTAATAAAGATAAATACATTACAGAATTTTATTACTTATAAACATAAAGATAAACAATTTTTTAAAGCTTATACTTCTAAGAAAAAGATAAATGAATATTTTATTCATAAGAATAAAGAAAGCTAAATGAAAATGACGATTTATTTTTAAATAAAAACTTAATATTTTATTTTCTTCCAGATATCTAAAAAAATTATGTTGACAAGTATATTTGCATATATTTTTTCTTCGAGCATCTTCACTTTTTATTAATATTGGATATTGAGATGCTAGTTGTAAGAAAAAAAAAATGTAAATTAATGCCTTTATAGCACATATTTATATATTTATTTATTATAAAACGAGATTTTTTTATTCTGTAATTTTTATTTTTTTCTAATATAAAAAATTTATTTCTTTATTTAAATTATTTTCTAAATATCAAAAATATATTTATCTTGACTTTTTTCGATAAATATATTATTTATATTTATTTCATGAAGTAAAAATATAACATCTCTATCCGTAAAGTTGCAAAAAGTAGTATTATACGAGCTAATGATGCGATTAATGAACATAGAAACAAGTTCGAGCTATGTTTAGCTCAGAGCTATTTGTGTTCGGTTCGTAATCGACTGGTAGTGCGTTCAAATCTTCGTTCAAGCTGTGATTGGAAAAATTACTACTCTATTGCTTATAGAATTCGAGTGTTATATCATAACTCACTATGGTGCATTGGTTCGATTCTGACACAGAGTGATGGTTATTTTTTAGTTTTTTGGGGATGAAAAATAAACGCGTCGTAATCTGTTTGCAAAACAGACGAGTTTGCACACGTTTTTGTTTTTGAATGCGTTCACGCGCCTGATATTGTTGCATTTTGGACATATTCAAACGTATTTTTTAACATAAATGAATTGTGATACTATTAGCATTGGAGCGAGGAAAGATGTGTTTGCCCACTGTAAACACGTTCAGAGATTCGAAAATGTTGCATAAGTCACAGACGCTCAGGAACGCGTTCGAGGTCGAAAAACGGTTACCTGGATAGTATAGTTAATATCTGCAAACAAAATTTTTCGTTCAGACGCTTACACTCACCCTGTTCGGTATGTAATTGTGGCAGACAGTTGATTTAATCTACTACAGCTCTTAAAAGACATTCTCATTGCAGAATATAACTGCTCACCATACGAAGACTCTATTCAAAAAAACACCATGGTGTTTTAGAACTCTTTTTGGACACTTGTTCTGTACATATAAAAAAAACTGCTTGGATCCGATCTGATAGTGAATAGAAAATGATGCTTACCAGTAACTCTTCGAGTCATATTACCTAATAGCTCGATATCTTAAGTACTACAGTCTACATTTAGTTCTGATTCTTTGCGCTTATTTAAGCAAGCTTATCGTAAGGTTTTGAGATAGATCATTTTCTTTCATAGAAAAGGATGCCTAACACAACTTTCCATTTATCACTCGAAGTCTATCTATGCTGAAAATTACAAGTCGCTCCGATGAGTCGTTCTTCCGAAATGCCAGGAAGGCAAGTTATCATTAAGTTTTAGCAAATCTATCACAAAAACTTCAAAAACTTTTCAGTGCAATTCGCATATTGAAACTGTTTATCTCTATGTCAATGTTAAGAAAACTTTTTATTCAACAATCGATAGGACTCAAGAAACTCAATGAAAAAGAACAATTTTCGATTTAATTGATGTAAAACATCATGCTACAAATAATGAAAAAGTCGTAGAAATATTTTTCACATTTTTGGTTCTATTTTATTTGTAGGATTTTTAATTTCTTTTTGCACATAATTGAATGATTCACATAAAAAGATGTATGTTCGAAAATTTTGTTTACTAATAATACTCCAGCGGATTTTTTTAAAAACAATTAGGATACTAAGCAATAAATATAGAACTTATGAAATGCACGCATTGACGCTTGCATCATCTGTTGAAACTTTAACTGTCTAAAACAACAAAATAATCAAGGCAAAAATCTTGAGAGATCTGTTCACACAGATGATCATGTTTGCTACAATGTAACTTAATGGATGTCAGATTTCACATTTTTACCCCTCCATCTAAATTAGATTATGACAAGCTTAGTTGAATAATAGAAAACTTTTTGATTTTAAGCATATGCAGAATTGTGCAAAAACAGTGCAGTAGACCGAGAAAATCTATTGAACGTATTTATTGTAAACTACTTCTTATATAAAGACAGAATATGATCAGACTCCTAGGTATCAGATACGATCTTAAACTTACTCTGGCGAAGTTGTGGAATCTTTTTAAATTCCAATTTTTTTTGGAACAGAAATATCATAGACTCCAGCGGACATTCGAACTTGAATCTATACGATTCGGGTAGTTTGAATTCTATCCGTTTGAAGTTTGGCCGAATTCTTCCGAGTTCTATTGACATAGTTCCCACCAATATTAAGGCAATTCATGCTTCTTCAGTGTGTTAAAAACTAGAAATGAGATCAACTTGTGTTTTTTTTTAAATGGAATCGAAACGATCTCATTTCTGTCAAAAGTTGTTGCCGTGAGAAGGGAATATAATGCTCTCGACATGGTTACATCACTGTCTACTTTAATTTCTCCTGCTCGTCTTTCTTCTTTCAGATTTATTTGGAAAGCTGGAAAGTTTTTTGATGATAATAATAACAAGGAAGATCTCTTGAATGTACGAGAAAATTGATCTGCTCGCTTACACAGAAAAGCACCTGAGTAGAACGATTTTGTCTTCATGATAAAAAAAACAACTTATTTCACATCCTTCTACCATACGTACGCGATTTGATGTCGTGTGTTTCGTTTGAGAAAGTGGTGTGAAATAACAAAAAATTCTGCGTTTGCCCACTTTAATTGTTGAGAAGAGAACAAAACACGCAAAAGCATATACACATCTATTTACTGTTTTTCGCTTCGATAACAAGAATTCTTGATAAGATAGAAAATGTCAATATTATGAAGGAAAGGACAACAATTGTCGGCCAAAGTGCGTTTCGTTTTGCACAACACAATTACAAATAAATATTGACGTGTATAGCGCGATAAGTGAATCATTTCTGGTTTACTTCACTGGCACATAACAAACATATAAATATGTTTATCTATTTTAGACTTCACGAACAATGATCGACTTGGCTAGACCTCTGGTTCCGAGTAGGATAGAGCTATCATGTTTCGCATCTTGATTCTTCTGGCACTACACAAATAACTTTCTTCATAATTGCGAACATTGAGGCCAGTCATTTGTTGCTTTGAAAATACATAGATCATGCGGTCAATGGTGAATGTCTTGAAAAAGGATGACAAGTACATACGTATAAGATTTATGTGTCGGTAGCATATTTGATTTATTGACACGTAAATGCATGACAACTTTCACATTTAAATAGATGTGGGTATCGATAAGGCTGAAGAAAAGAGCCAGACACACAAGAAATTTACTATTCTTTAGTAGAAACGATGATATATGAGATGAATTGAGAGACCAAGTAAAAAAGTGACTTTTAGAAGTGGTGGAACAAATAGGAAAGTAATTAATAAGACAAAGCAGGAGCAGAGAGTGTTGTTACAATATGCCTTGAATGGCACATTTTACTGAATTTGCCATGCAAGTTTGCGAAAAATTGTTATATTGTGGCTGATAATGATGATTTGTGATAATAAGAAGTATATTTATACAATCGCAAATATTTTTTGACAATGACTTTTACAATCATTATTCAATTTCTTTGTTACTTTTTTCGAATCAATCCTACTACCAAAATATCACAATGAATGGAATAACAAGAGCAACAGTGACAATTATATGAATGCGAATTAAAATCTAGAGTTGAAATTCTATTTCATTATCATTTGAATGAACGGTCTCAACAGACGATATCATTCGAGATAGACATTCAATGAGAGCAGCATGAACAGCTACGAGACTTGTATCTGGATTTGAATCAACGGCTCAACCTACTATTTGAACAAGAATACATATGAAGCTTATCAATGTTGCAAGGGTAGTTAGAATAAGACTTAGTTGATGTGTTTGAAACGAAATGAATTGATCGAACATTTTTTCTTTGTTGCGAAGACGTAAAGAACGACTGTAAACGTGTAAAAACAAAATTTCACTAGGAGTACAAATAATCCAAGCAAACATCACGATAGTTTTACGAGCTTACGATAATGAATCGTCTTGAAGCATGCTGTCTGTTCACATTGTCGATAATAGTTGCTGTCACGGTCCAGATGTTCAATACTCCGGAAATTATTTCGCACTAATAATGAAGCTTTTTTACTTATCTCTATTTATACAATGGAAATTTTCATTTATCATCATTACAATACATATCTGCTCGTTTTTTCCATTGTCTTGTTCTCTTTTATCTTATAAGTAACAGCGGTAAACAAGAAAAACATATTTTTTCGTAGTTGTCAAAAAAGAATCAGTTCGGCAAGTAATTGGCATCAGCAATGACGTTTCAAACAAGCATCGGGTGACATAAAAAAGTGCGCTCTTCTCTTTTTCTCAATAAAGAAAAAAGAAAACAGTAATTCAATGCAATAAAACAAATGAAATCTGAATAAGGGTGAGAGTGTGCATGCCCATATGGATTAGAAGTGTAAATTTATGT